ATTCTAAGAAAAAAAGTCAGAATTGCGAGATATAAACTCAGAATTGCGAAATTTTAACTTGGAATTCTAAGAAAAAAGTCAGAATTGCGAGATATAAACTCAGAATTACGAAATTTTAACTTGGAATTCTAAGAAAAAAGTCAGATTTGCGAGAAATAAACTCAGAATTGCGAAATTTTAACTTGCAATTCTAAGAAAAAAGTCAGAATTGTGAGATATATACACAGAATATATAATTAACCAAGCTACCTTCACATTATAGAGTACAGTATTAAGTTAATCAATTTACTTTCAGTTTTGTAATAATTTATGTTCCATATTAAGCGAACGAAACATCGGAAGCACCATATAACACTGTTTCACAAGAAAACCATTCATTAACTGAATGACGTAACTCTGTGAGATATTGGCCAACAGGAGATTTACTGCCACTCTATTTGTCACACTTCTGTGTTCATTAATATGAAATCTCAGTTGTCGATTGGTCTTACCCATATTTTGAAGACCACAAGGGCAAGAAAGTAAATATATAAAATTTGCTGAACGACTGAAATGTTTTAAATGCACTGAGCACTTAATTTTTTTGCACTTGTATCAATAAAAGAAAATTGCTAGTATCTCGGTATGCAATCCTTTTCTTATACACAGTGATTGAATTTCAAGTAACTTTTCTGTCATTAAAACCCTTATAAAAGATGCAAACATTTTTTTTTCCTGTGAATCTGCTTGAGTAGCAACAGAAGATAAAGATTTACTCTCTGTCACGGTGACAGAAACAGAGAGAGTGAAATACTGCGATGGACTAAATCACTCAATGCCTTCTCCGGCTTTTCCCAGAGGAGAACGAACATCATTTCAGGTGCTGCCAGCTTCTTTCTATTTATACTTTCCTCTGGAGGACAGATTGACGTTCCTGATCAATGACCTGGCAGGACGATCCCTCAAGCGAGGGACACAAACCCACACCTGCTGGCCTTCACAATGGACCACCGCTGTCCTCCAGCTACACGCTTATTACAGCATCAGCCCTGCCATCATTCCTGCCCACAGTTATTCCCACCGGACACAGATATTGCTCCGAGGTTTCGTGGGTCAAGAGACGTCAAGGAGATTTTTGTCTGAGATGTTTCTCCTATATATATATATATATATACTGTA